GAAAGCTGAGCGAGGAGAACCATCCCCTCGAGTCGCCATTCCACTTGGACGACCCCCTCGAACTCGCTCACCTCCCACTTCCCCCCATCGGTGGCGCGATCGTTGGTCGGAGATTGAGGAGGGGAACGTACCACCAACTCCTCCTCGGGACTCCCTTGGTCCAATCTCTCGCCCGGATCCGTTTGCTCGCTTCATTGAAGGCACCACAACCCCACTCACCATCATCCCTGACCGCGAATTCCTCGCCCTGTATCTCACAACGGCACCTGCAGAAGGGGAGGCAACGGCAGAAACAGAAGCAGAGGAGCCGGCCAGCGAAGCAGAACCAGGAGAAGAGGAAGAACCCCCACTCCAGATACCGCAACTCACGGCGGAAGAGGCAGCAGAGTATCACACCCGTTACAAGCGTACTTCCGGCATCCGCGCCGAAGACGACCTCTGGCACCAGCGTATGGGTCATCCCTCGCGCCAGACACTCGCCAACTGCCTCCGCGCTAAGGTCTTCCCGCCAGGAGCACTGCTGCGCCCTGACGGAACGGAATTACAGCACACCACCCCCCATCCGATCACCTGCACAGTCTGCCCCACTGCTGCGCTCACCCACAGCGCCTACCCCTCCTTGGAGCCGAGCACCAACCGCTACAAGAAGTTGGAGAAGGTTTACAAAGACTTCATTGTACTCACCCACGACGGCATCAATGGCGAGAAGTATACTCTCACCTTCATCGATGCCTACTCACGCCACGTGTGGATCGCCAACGTTGACGCTCGTTCCAAAGCTCCGGAGGTGTTCCGCGTCTTCCTCGCGCACGCACAGCGTCAGTCGGGAAGGAAACTGAAGGTCTGGCAGAGTGATGGGGCAAAAGAATTTCGCAGCAACGAGCTGGAGAGCGTCCTCACCGAGAAGGGGATCAAGCATGAGATTTCTCTCCCCTATGCCCATCAGCAGCAAGGCGTCGCCGAGAGGGTCGATCGCACGCTCATGACCAAGGTCCGCGCCCTCATGAATCAGTCCGGCCTGCCCAAGAAGTTTTGGCCCTACGCCATGAACCACGCGGTGCGCCTGCACAACCTCCTCTCCACCACCGCCAACAGAGACAACCTGTCCCCTCACATGAAGTGGACCGGCTCAAGGGGAGACCCCTCTATGTTGAGGGTTTGGGGGTGCATGGTGCAATACCGGCCGACCTCAGCTACAATCGGCAAGTTCGTTCATCGCGCGCGCTGGGGTATTCACTTGGGCCTTAGCAATGAGCACAAGGGCTGGCTCATCCTCGACATGGACAACAAGGAGGTTGTCCCTGCACGCGATATCCTCTTCTACGAGCGACTCACCCTGAAGCAGTGGATCGAGGACGAGCTCCGCAACGAAGCACGCGGCTACGTCAACCACGGTCGCAGCTTCGCGACCCCGGAAGATGAAGCAGCAGCAGCGGCACTGGACCGCGACGACACCAACGAACATCCCAGCATTCCACCTCGCCCGCGCGACGACGACGACGATGACAGCGATGACGACTCCGCTCCAGGACCATCACGGCGCCGAGCAGAGCCAAGCACCGCGGCACCCGGCTATGAGAGCGGAGACGACGACGTGGTGGAAGTCCTCCCCACCACAGACACCACCACAGTGTCCAGCCTACAACTCCTCGGCCTCCACACCTCCGTTTCTACCCTCGCTCGAGCCGTGGAGCCTAAGAACCCTCGCCAGGCCCTAACCGGCCCTCACGCCAAGGAGTGGCGTGCTGCGATGGATGCGGAGCTCAAGGCACTGGAATCTCGCGACACCTGGGTCCTAGTCGATCGTGCAGCAGTGAAGGGGAGGAGGGTGCTCAGTGGGAAATGGGTTTTCCGCCTGAAAACTAACGCCGACGGCACTATCGAGCGTTTCAAGGCACGCTGGGTCGTACGCGGGTACGACCAGCGCCATGGCATCGACTTCGATCAAACCTTCGCCCCCGTCAGTCGCCACACCTCAGTCCGGATTCTACTCGCCATTGCCGCCGCGAAGCACCTGCCACTGCGACAGATCGACGTAAAGAACGCGTTTTTGTACGCGTTGGTAGATGCCACCATCTTTGTGGAGCAGCCACACACCTACGGAGAGGGTGATCCCAGAGTCTGTCAACTGAAGAAGTCTCTCTACGGGATCAAGCAGGCGCCTCGCCTCTGGCAGCAGCACCTGCACAAAATCCTCCTCGAAATCGGTTTCAAGCAGCTTCCACACGACCCGGGAATGTATCGCCTTCACTTCAACGGCGATTACATCCTCCTGACAGTCTACGTCGACGACCTGCTGTACACGGGCACCTGCAACAAGCTCCTTGATCAGTTTCAGAAGAACCTGGCGCAGCGCGTGGACATCACCATCAACCTCGAAGTAAAGCAGTTTTTGGGGTTAAACATCACTTACGCGCCAGAAGCAATTCACCTGTCAGCCTCGAAGTACGCAGAGCAGCTGGGAGAACGCTTCAACATCTCACCCGCACCACTCTCAACTCCCTACCGCAGCCCCAGCACCAACTACAAACCAGACAACAAACCTCTGTCACCCGCAGGACTCCAAATGTACCAGCAGAAGTTGGGGTGCCTGCTATTCGCCTCTGTCACCTGCCGACCCGACCTTTCGTACATCGCCAGCCAACTGGCGCAGTACTCCCGCAAGCCAGTAGCTGAGAACCAGCTGGACCTGGAGCGCGCCCTGCAGTACTTCATCTCCACTCCTGACATTGGACTCTCCTACTCCACGCTGACGACGACCTCCTTCAACCTCAACGGCTACGTGGACGCAGATCACGCAGCTGATCCTGCAAATCGACGGTCCCGAACCGGCTTCGTTTTTCGCCTGGAACCCACTGGGCCAATCTCCTGGAACTCGCAGAAGCAGGAGCTGGTTGCCCTGTCATCGGCTGAAGCAGAATACATCGCCGCGACAGCAGCAGTTCGCGAAGGCCTGTACCTGCAGGAGCTGCTACAGGAGGCGAAAATTCCAACTTCGCCCACCTTTCGCCTTCACTGCGACAACCAAAGTGCCATCAGGATCGCGAACAAGCCAGGTTTTGTGAACCGCACGAAGCACATCGCGCTTCGGTACTTTTTCGTCAAGGACGAAATCGACCAAGGCAAAGTGGACCTCGCCTACTGCCCGACCACGGAGATGGCAGCAGACTTCCTCACCAAGCGCCTGCCACGTCAGCAGTACAAACACTGCTCTGACCTCACCGGAGTAGTCAAGCGAGTCAGCTCCACCCGCGTCCAGGAATGAAGGGGAGTGTTACGATATGAAACTTTATGAGAAGGCATTCCTGTAGGCTGCAGGAGCCGACTCTACCGAGTACGAAGTCGAGGAGTCAGAAGAGTCGAAGCGACGCAGCAACCGTCTGACCAAGACCGATGCTGGCAGAAACATTTGAAGTGAAATGAGCGGGAACAGGTTTGAAACGGGTTCCCGCGCCGCACGGTTTGAATTCGGTTGTAATAAGGGAATGTACCCCTTAGAGTACATGGCTAGTCTAGGTCTTTTCGTATTCCCCTGTATTCTTATATAAACTCGATGTATGCATGCTATTATCAACTCAGTCATTTACATTCACTCTGACCTGAGATTCAAACTTCCGCTGCAACACTACTCTGCGATCAACCCTGAGCGATCCTTCGCTAAGTCCTTTTTAGGATTGTAACAGATCCTAAGGGCTTTTTCTCAGCCCAACAGTAGTGAAGTGCTCCTTAGTGGGTACAACTCAGTTAGGGTTTGCTATTTGCATCACCCAGATTCCTAATCTCACCATTCCGTTGCATTCTATTTCTGAGACCAACAGGCACAATTGCAATTTGACATTCCCAATATTAAAAAGGGTAAGATTGAATTAGTACTCATGTTTGAAAAATATACGACTCTAAAAAAGCATGATTATCAGGAGAATAGTCTGAAATTTCATACAGTCGGACTAAAATAGCCTGATAATGTCAACCCTGGTTTCAACGCGTTACACAAATAGATAAGCACATCTCTAATATTCCAAAAGAAACACCCTGAAAGATCTTGAAGCGTACTAATTATATGAAACAGATTCACTTTTAAGTTTGAAACTCCATAGATTTTTTATTGTTATATACTCATCTCCCTCCTAGTGTGGTGCGCTGGTCGATTTTGAATGTTATACTAGGTTAATATGATCGTCGTATATTGCGAACGTCGCAGTGTGCACCGCTTCACATTCCCTCATCAGATAACCACATCGCATCGCATCATTCTGTAGTAGCAGCGATCCAGCCAGCCACCACCATTCAGCGATCCAGCCAGCGATCCGGCTTCCTGCTGCTACGAAACTCGTCCTCGTCGCGCCGCATCGGTACTTCGCATCTCGTCGCTCTCCTCGCCGCGGAGCCCCTCTCCCTCGTGTTTGGTAGATCCAACCACCTCCATTCGTATCATCGCCATTCTCAGCATCGCCATTCAGTGACTCGCGTGCGGCAGCAGCATGGATTCCAGACTCGCGCTCTTCGCGCTTCTCCTCGCCGTCGTCCTTGTCTCAGGTGACCTCCTATTACCTTCACCTACCTGCCGCGCCTCCCTTTCAAGCTCACCGCTCTCGTATCTGCGCGCCCCTCCATAGTCGTTCTCTGCGCGCCCCTTCATAGTCGTTCTCTGTGCGCCCCTCCATAGTCGTTCTCTGTGCGCCCCTCCCTCTCCTCATTTAGACGCCCCTCCGTACCCTTGTATGCGTGTATGCGTGTATGCGTGTGTATGCGTGTATGCGTGTCTGCGTGTATGCGTGTATGCGTGTATGCGTGTATGCGTGTATGCGTGTATGCGTGTATGCGTGTATGCGTGTATGCGTGTGTATGCGTGTATGCGTGTATGCGTGTATGCGTGTATGCGTGTATGCGTGTATGCGTGTATGCGTGTATGCGTGTATGCGTGTATGCGTGTATGCGTGTATGCGTGTGTGCGTGTGTGCGTGTGTGTGCGTGCGTGTGTGTGCGAGCGTGTGTGGCAGCGAGCGCCAAGGTGGAGAAGGACGTCAAGCAGCTGCAGATCGGCGTCAAGGTGAGCGCCGTGCCGTCAAGGTGAGCGCCGCGCCGTCAAGGTGAGCGCCGCGCCGTCAAGGTGAGCGCCATGCCGTCAAGGTGAGCGCCATGCCGTCAAGGTGAGCGCCATGCCGTCAAGGTGAGCGCCATGCCGTCAAGGTGAGCGCCATGCCGTCAAGGTGAGCGCCATGCCGTCAAGGTGAGCGCCATGCCGTCAAGGTGAGCGCCATGCCGTCAAGGTGAGCGCCATGCCGTCAAGGTGAGCGCCATGCCGTCAAGGTGAGCGCCATGCCGTCAAGGTGAGCGCCATGCCGTCAAGGTGAGCGCCATGCCGTCAAGGTGAGCGCCATGCCGTCAAGGTGAGCGCCATGCCGTCAAGGTGAGCGCCATGCCGTCAAGGTGAGCGCCATGCCGTCAAGGTGAGCGCCATGCCGTCAAGGTGAGCGCCATGCCGTCAAGGTGAGCGCCATGCCGTCAAGGTGAGCGCCATGCCGTCAAGGTGAGCGCCATGCCGTCAAGGTGAGCGCCATGCCGTCAAGGTGAGCGCCATGCCGTCAAGGTGAGCGTCATGCCGTCAAGGTGAGCGCCATGCCGTCAAGGTGAGCGCCATGCCGTCAAGGTGAGCGCCATGCCGTCAAGGTGAGCGCCATGCCGTCAAGGTGAGCGTCTCGCCCTTACCTTCGATGCCTCCCGTCCTGCGTTGCGACCTGTCCTTCTCTTTCTCTTCACTTCGCTCCACTCTCTCCCTCCCATTCCCGTCTTCCCCCTAACCCCCGTGTGCCCATCGCATGCTGCGCTCCCCCTCATCTGCTGTGCGCGCCTTACCCTGGTTCCTCCTTTGCACAGTTCAAGCCCTTTGCGCGCCTTGCCCCATGTCCCCCTCGCGCAGTTCAAGCCCGAAACTTGCAACACCAAGGCGCGCAACCTCGACACGGTCCGCGTGCACTACAAGGTATCCTCGATACAGTCCCGATTCACAACAAGGTAGTATCGATGGGAGCCCCATGGATGGGTCGCATTGCTCTGCACGTCATGCCACCTCGCTTCGCAACTACCCTCGTCTTTCCAAATCCCCTCCCCACTGCTCGCAACTTCCCCGCCACTGCCCCACCATGCTTCCCGCTCGGATCCCCCTCTTCCCGGCCCCCTGCCTGCGCGCACGTGCCCCCCCCCCCAGGGCATGCTGGTGGACGGCAGCGTGTTTGACTCGAGCTACGAGCGCGGCGACCCGCTGCAGTTCCGCCTGGGGCAGGGCAACGTGATCAAGGGTGGGTGGGGGGGGGGAGGGGCAGGGCAACGTGATCAAGGGTGGGTGAAAGCCCGCCTTGGCACGAGATAAAGGAAACTTCCAAGTGCTGTTGAGCGTGCTTCTCTGTGCACTGCTACCCCTCGTGCGCCCCACCTTGCCTGCGTGCGTGTCCCCATCCTCCCCTTAGTTCAACGCCACCATGCCCACACGCTAGGATGTTCCCACCACAGCGTGCAAGGGGAGCTTGTGCACGCCCAACATCCCTCCCTCCACTCTGCATGTACCCCTGCCCACGCACTGACCTCCTGCTATGTTTTCCTCCCCCTCCTTCCCCCTTCCTACCCCCCTCCTTCCCCTCCACTTCCCATTGACCCGCGGAGCAGGGTGGGACATTGGCATTCTAGGCATGTGTGTGGGCGAGAAGCGCAAGCTCAAGATCCCCGCACACATGGGCTACGGCGAGTCGGGCTCGCCACCCAAGATTCCCGGTATGCGTAGGGTTTAGGTACTCCCTCCCCGCCACTCTGTTGGTGCAACCCTACGGTTTGCACTCGGCTTGTTGTCCGTGTGCGTGAATGTGTGTGTGTATGGAATGGTATGAGGGCATGGGATAATATATATTTCATGCTTATAATTGTGTGTGAATGTTGAGTCATGATGTCGAGTGTGTGTGTCGAGTCAATAGCGAGTTATCGCTAGACGCGTGTTACGCGGTCGTTTGTGTCTCGCGCGCGGTTTCTATTTTGTCGTGCGCGGTTTCTATTTTGTCCTGTGTCGAACGTTCGGCGTGTCGCAGGTGTGTGCAGCAGACCCATCAAGAACTCAAGGATGAGTTTGTGATGAAGAGCCCGAGCCTTGGTGTCAAGCCTCAAGTGATTTCGAAGCTCGCCAAAAAGGTACACCTCAAGATATTGAAGATAGTTACATTACTTTGTGTAGTGTAACATTTCACTTGGTGTAGGCCCTAGTGAAGGGTAGTTTCGAGACCCTTCGTGGTTGGGGACAGTGTGGCACTGTTCCACATCACTGTACCTCGGCTCTTGGGGTTTGTAGGAGCTGGGAGTCATTCCCAACTCGTAACTCTTCCTATCTTGTGTTCTAAGACTATAGTGGCTGCCATAGTACCGTTCGTTCAAACCGACGCTGTGTCGTCAATTCTTTATCAAATCGTGCAATCTAAATTGATAATTGTAGACGACGTGAAGACGCTCCAGATCCAATTTGAATCAAGTCATTTGCAGCTGTGAGCAGAACGCTATCAACGTTTGAAGCCGCTGTGCAGAAATCCGTCTGTGCTCTCTATCTTTCGTTTTAGGCACATTCAAGCCTATTGTGACTATAACACACTCCCCACTCCCCGTCCTGCCACTCCCCGTCCCGCCACTTCCCCTCGTGCCATGCCACTCCCCCTCTTCCCACTCCCCCTGTCTGCATGCGCTGCTCACCATGCCGCTCCTCCTCCATGTCTCCCATCACGTCTCCCTCCCGTCTGTGCTCCTCTCACATGGCCATGCCTCACTGCCTCACAGCGTCACCATTGCACCTGCTGCAGCACTCCCTCCCGTCTGTGCTCCTCTCACATGGCCATGCCTCACTGCCTCACAGCGTCACCATTGCACCTGCTGCAGCACTTTATTTTTCTCGTTGCACGCTCGCCTGTTCCTGGTTGGATTGGCTGATGCTTGCATTGCACGAAAAGTGCCATTGCAAGCACACCTAAAACACGTGCTGCACTCCTCTTCCCTCCCTCCCTCCGCCGTGCCCTGCTTGCCGCCCCCCTGCCCTCTCTCCGCCCTGTCCGCCATGCGCCATGGCACGCCACACAGGCGGGGCAACACTCATCTTTGAGACGGAGCTGGTGGAGATCGTGGGGGCCAAGCCAGATGACGAGGAGCTCTGACCGCCTCACCACCTCTCACCTCGCACACGCTAACATGCACAGAGCGACCACGCTGCTGCCGCATCAGCTGCGCATATTGCAAGTCATCTAGGTGGCACCGTGTAACTCCATTGATTCTGGGAGTTGTAATGTAACTCAGGTCACTGCTTAGCACTGGAATGTTGTTTACCTTGTGTGCAATGACATTTTTCACACTTCCTAGTAGCTACAAGTTGCAAGAACCACAGATAGAGAATGTAAAGTTGGCTCACTTTGACCCAAAACATATTACTGGGCACCAACGCATTATGCTGTATTACCAAGTTAGCACCGTTCATATGAAAAGCATGCTCCCTGTACATTGCTGTTCCCTGCATAAGGGCAGCGACATCCCGGCAATTGGCCTACTGAGATTTCTTGATCTTGTGCGAGCAAGGTGCAGGAGTGACGCGAGAGAGGGTGTTGAGGAAGGTGTAGACGGAGAAGAGCACAAAGAGCCACCGGAACCTGCCAGCACAGCCATGGGACAGTGAAGGGGGGATGCGTGTGGGTGATGAGGACGGGTGGGGGCTGTGCCATGCATGGGTGATAAAGGCAGCAGGGAGGAAGATAGAGGAGGTCTCTCAGAGATAGTTTTACGCACCAAACGAATTGGGAGCGATGGGCCCGCATCGCTCGCACGCTGGGCAGCATGTTCGGGCAGATGAAATATATCCTGCTGCCTGCCGTGCTTAGGTATTGTGTGATGAGGAAGTGCATCCACACGGCAAGCACCCCCAGGAGCCCAAGAAACTTGACATGCAGCCATGCACTGTTCTGCAGGGGGCACGGAGGGTGGGATGGATGGGAGATGAACGAAGGTCAAATGGGGATGGATGGAGGGGATAAAGCAAGGTAATTGGATGGAAGGGAAGGAAAGATATGGGAGTGGAAGGATGTAGCAGGAAATGGAAGGATGTAGCAGGAAAAGGAAAGTGAATTGGAGGGGAGTGAAAGAGAGTGAGAGGAACGGGAGTGAAAGGAGGGATGCATGAAGGAAGGGATGCATGGCATGGAGGAAGGGATGCATGGCATGGAGGAAGGGATGCATGGCATGGAGGAAGGGATGCATGGCATGGAGGAAGGGATGCATGGCATGAAGGAAGGGATGCATGGCATGGAGGAAGGGATGCATGGCATGGAGGAAGGGATGCATGGCATGGAGGAAGGGATGCATGGCATGAAGGAAGGGATGCATGGCATGGAGGAAGGGATGCATGGCATGGAGGAAGGGATGCATGGCATGGAGGAAGGGATGCATGGCATGGAGGAAGGGATGCATGGCATGAAGGAAGGGATGCATGGCATGGAGGAAGGGATGCATGGCATGGAGGAAGGGATGCATGGCATGGAGGAAGGGATGCATGGCATGAAGGAAGGGATGCATGGCATGAAGGAAGGGATGCATGGCATGAAGGAAGGGATGCATGGCATGGAGGAAGGGATGCATGGCATGAAGGAAGGGATGCATGGCATGAAGGAAGGGATGCATGGCATGAAGGAAGGGATGCATGGCATGGAGGAAGGGATGCATGGCATGGAGGAAGGGATGCATGGCATGGAGGAAGGGATGCATGGCATGAAGGAAGGGATGCATGGCATGAAGGAAGGGATGCATGGCATGAAGGAAGGGATGCATGGCATGGAGGAAGGGATGCATGGCATGAAGGAAGGGATGCATGGCATGAAGGAAGGGATGCATGGCATGAAGGAAGGGATGCATGGCATGGAGGAAGGGATGCATGGCATGAAGGAAGGGATGCATGGCATGGAGGAAGGGATGCATGGCATGGAGGAAGGGATGCATGGCATGGAGGAAGGGATGCATGGCATGAAGGAAGGGATGCATGGCATGAAGGAAGGGATGCATGGCATGGAGGAAGGGATGCATGGCATGAAGGAAGGGATGCATGGCATGGAGGAAGGGATGCATGGCATGGAGGAAGGGATGCATGGCATGAAGGAAGGGATGCATGGCATGAAGGAAGGGATGCATGGCATGAAGGAAGGGATGCATGGCATGGAGGAAGGGATGCATGGCATGGAGGAAGGGATGCATGGCATGGAGGAAGGGATGCATGGCATGAAGGAAGGGATGCATGGCATGGAGGAAGGGATGCATGGCATGAAGGAAGGGATGCATGGCATGGAGGAAGGGATGCATGGCATGGAGGAAGGGATGCATGGCATGAAGGAAGGGATGCATGGCATGGAGGAAGGGATGCATGGCATGGAGGAAGGGATGCATGGCATGAAGGAAGGGATGCATGGCATGAAGGAAGGGATGCATGGCATGGAGGAAGGGATGCATGGCATGAAGGAAGGGATGCATGGCATGGAGGAAGGGATGCATGGCATGAAGGAAGGGATGCATGGCATGAAGGAAGGGATGCATGGCATGGAGGAAGGGATGCATGGCATGGAGGAAGGGATGCATGGCATGAAGGAAGGGATGCATGGCATGAAGGAAGGGATGCATGGCATGGAGGAAGGGATGCATGGCATGAAGGAAGGGATGCATGGCATGAAGGAAGGGATGCATGGCATGGAGGAAGGGATGCATGGCATGAAGGAAGGGATGCATGGCATGAAGGAAGGGATGCATGGCATGGAGGAAGGGATGCATGGCATGAAGGAAGGGATGCATGGCATGAAGGAAGGGATGCATGGCATGAAGGAAGGGATGCATGGCATGGAGGAAGGGATGCATGGCATGGAGGAAGGGATGCATGGCATGAAGGAAGGGATGCATGGCATGAAGGAAGGGATGCATGGCATGGAGGAAGGGATGCATGGCATGGAGGAAGGGATGCATGGCATGAAGGAAGGGATGCATGGCATGAAGGAAGGGATGCATGGCATGAAGGAAGGGATGCATGGCATGGAGGAAGGGATGCATGGCATGGAGGAAGGGATGCATGGCATGAAGGAAGGGATGCATGGCATGAAGGAAGGGATGCATGGCATGGAGGAAGGGATGCATGGCATGGAGGAAGGGATGCATGGCATGAAGGAAGGGATGCATGGCATGAAGGAAGGGATGCATGGCATGAAGGAAGGGATGCATGGCATGAAGGAAGGGATGCATGGCATGGAGGAAGGGATGCATGGCATGAAGGAAGGGATGCATGGCATGAAGGAAGGGATGCATGGCATGGAGGAAGGGATGCATGGCATGGAGGAAGGGATGCATGGCATGAAGGAAGGGATGCATGGCATGAAGGAAGGGATGCATGGCATGAAGGAAGGGATGCATGGCATGGAGGAAGGGATGCATGGCATGAAGGAAGGGATGCATGGCATGGAGGAAGGGATGCATGGCATGAAGGAAGGGATGCATGGCATGAAGGAAGGGATGCATGGCATGGAGGAAGGGATGCATGGCATGAAGGAAGGGATGCATGGCATGAAGGAAGGGATGCATGGCATGGAGGAAGGGATGCATGGCATGGAGGAAGGGATGCATGGCATGAAGGAAGGGATGCATGGCATGAAGGAAGGGATGCATGGCATGAAGGAAGGGATGCATGGCATGAAGGAAGGGATGCATGGCATGGAGGAAGGGATGCATGGCATGAAGGAAGGGATGCATGGCATGAAGGAAGGGATGCATGGCATGGAGGAAGGGATGCATGGCATGAAGGAAGGGATGCATGGCATGAAGGAAGGGATGCATGGCATGGAGGAAGGGATGCATGGCATGAAGGAAGGGATGCATGGCATGAAGGAAGGGATGCATGGCATGGAGGAAGGGATGCATGGCATGAAGGAAGGGATGCATGGCATGAAGGAAGGGATGCATGGCATGGAGGAAGGGATGCATGGCATGAAGGAAGGGATGCATGGCATGGAGGAAGGGATGCATGGCATGGAGGAAGGGATGCATGGCATGAAGGAAGGGATGCATGGCATGAAGGAAGGGATGCATGGCATGGAGGAAGGGATGCATGGCATGAAGGAAGGGATGCATGGCATGAAGGAAGGGATGCATGGCATGGAGGAAGGGATGCATGGCATGAAGGAAGGGATGCATGGCTTGAAGGAAGGGATGCATGGCATGAAGGAAGGGATGCATGGCATGGAGGAAGGGATGCATGGCATGAAGGAAGGGATGCATGGCATGGAGGAAGGGATGCATGGCATGGAGGAAGGGATGCATGGCATGAAGGAAGGGATGCATGGCATGGAGGAAGGGATGCATGGCATGAAGGAAGGGATGCATGGCATGGAGGAAGGGATGCATGGCTTGAAGGAAGGGATGCATGGCATGAAGGAAGGGATGCATGGCATGGAGGAAGGGATGCATGGCATGAAGGAAGGGATGCATGGCATGGAGGAAGGGATGCATGGCATGAAGGAAGGGATGCATGGCATGAAGGAAGGGATGCATGGCATGGAGGAAGGGATGCATGGAGGCCATTCGAAATGGAGCGAGCATGAGGGCAGGGGGGAGAGGAGAGTGGTGGCATGGCAGAGACACTACCCTGACTGCCTGCCCCCCTCACCAGCTGCCCCACTCACCAGCTGCCCCACTCACCAGCTGCCCCACTCACCAGCTGCCCCACTCACCAGCTGCCCCACTCACCAGCTGCCCCACTCACCAGCTGCCCCACTCACCAGCTGCCCCACTCACCAGCTGCCCCACTCACCAGCTGCCCCACTCACCAGCTGCCCCACTCACCAGCTGCCCCACTCACCAGCTGCCCCACTCACCAGCTGCCCCACTCACCAGCTGCCCCACTCACCAGCTGCCCCACTCACCAGCTGCCCCACTCACCAGCTGCCACACTCACCAGCTGCCCCACTCACCAGCTGCCCCACTCACCAGCTGCCCCACTCACCAGCTGCCCCACTCACCAGCTGCCCCACTCACCAGCTGCCCCACTCACCAGCTGCCACACTCACCAGCTGCCACACTCACCAGCTGCCACACTCACCAGCTGCCCCACTCACCAGCTGCCCCACTCACCAGCTGCACCACTCACCAGCTGCCCCACTCACCAGCTGCACCACTCACCAGCTGCCACACTCACCAGCTGCCCCACTCACCAGCTGCCCCACTCACCAGCTGCCCCACTCACCAGCTGCCACACTCACCAGCTGCCCCACTCACCAGCTGCCACGCTCACCAGCTGCCACACTCACCAGCTGCCACGCTCACCAGCTGCCCCACTCACCAGCTGCCCCACTCACCAGCTGCCCCACTCACCAGCTGCCACACTCACCAGCTGCCCCACTCACCAGCTGCCACACTCACCAGCTGCCACACTCACCAGCTGCCCCACTCACCAGCTGCCCCACTCACCAGCTGCCCCACTCACCAGCTGCCCCACTCACCAGCTGCCCCACTCACCAGCTGCCCCACTCACCAGCTGCCCCACTCACCAGCTGCCCCACTCACCAGCTGCCCCACTCACCAGCTGCCCCACTCACCAGCTGCCCCACTCACCAGCTGCCACACTCACCAGCTGCCCCACTCACCAGCTGCCCCACTCACCAGCTGCCCCACTCACCAGCTGCCCCACTCACCAGCTGCCACACTCACCAGCTGCCCCACTCACCAGCTGCCACACTCACCAGCTGCCCCACTCACCAGCTGCCCCACTCACCAGCTGCCCCACTCACCAGCTGCCACACTCACCAGCTGCCCCACTCACCAGCTGCCCCACTCACCAGCTGCCACACTCACCAGCTGCCCCACTCACCAGCTGCCCCACTCACCAGCTGCCCCACTCACCAGCTGCCACACTCACCAGCTGCCCCACTCACCAGCTGCCCCACTCACCAGCTGCCACACTCACCAGCTGCCCCACTCACCAGCTGCCCCACTCACCAGCTGCCACACTCACCAGCTGCCCCACTCACCAGCTGCACCACTCACCAGCTGCCACACTCACCAGCTGCCCCACTCACCAGCTGCCCCACTCACCAGCTGCCCCACTCACCAGCTGCCCCACTCACCAGCTGCCCCACTCACCAGCTGCCCCACTCACCAGCTCCCCCACTCACCAGCTGCCACACTCACCAGCTGCCCCACTCACCAGCTGCCCCACTCACCAGCTGCCCCACTCACCAGCTGCCCCACTCACCAGCTGCCACACTCACCAGCTGCCCCACTCACCAGCTGCCCCACTCACCAGCTGCCACACTCACCAGCTGCCCCACTCACCAGCTGCCACACTCACCAGCTGCCCCACTCACCAGCTGCCCCACTCACCAGCTGCCCCACTCACCAGCTGCCCCACTCACCAGCTGCCACACTCACCAGCTGCCCCACTCACCAGCTGCCACACTCACCAGCTGCCCCACTCACCAGCTGCCCCACTCACCAGCTGCCCCACTCACCAGCTGCCACACTCACCAGCTGCCCCACTCACCAGCTGCCCCACTCACCAGCTGCCCCACTCACCAGCTGCCCCACTCACCAGCTGCCACACTCACCAGCTGCCCCACTCACCAGCTGCCCCACTCACCAGCTGCCCCACTCACCAGCTGCCACACTCACCAGCTGCCACACTCACCAGCTGCCCCACTCACCAGCTGCCCCACTCACCAGCTGCCCCACTCACCAGCTGCCCCACTCACCAGCTGCCACACTCACCAGCTGCCACACTCACCAGCTGCCACACTCACCAGCTGCCCCACTCACCAGCTGCCCCACTCACCAGCTGCCCCACTCACCAGCTGCCACACTCACCAGCTGCCCCACTCACCAGCTGCCACACTCACCAGCTGCCACACTCACCAGCTGCCCCACTCACCAGCTGCCCCACTCACCAGCTGCCCCACTCACCAGCTGCCCCACTCACCAGCTGCCCCGCTCACCAGCTGCCCCACTCACCAGCTGCCACACTCACCAGCTGCCCCACTCACCAGCTGCCACACTCACCAGCTGCCCCACTCACCAGCTGCCCCACTCACCAGCTGCCCCACTCACCAGCTGCCACACTCACCAGCTGCCCCACTCACCAGCTGCTGCCCACTCACCAGCTGCCCCACTCACCAGCTGCCCCACTCACCAGCTGCCCCACTCACCAGCTGGCCCACTCACCAGCTGCCCCACTCACCAGCTGCCCCACTCACCAGCTGCCCCACTCACCAGCTGCCACACTCACCAGCTGCCCCACTCACCAGCTGCCACACTCACCAGCTGCCACACTCACCAGCTGCCCCACTCACCAGCTGCCCCACTCACCAGCTGCCCCACTCACCAGCTGCCCCACTCACCAGCTGCCCCACTCACCAGCTGCCCCACTCACCAGCTGCCCCACTCACCAGCTGCCCCACTCACCAGCTGCCCCACTCACCAGCTGCCACACTCACCAGCTGCCCCACTCACCAGCTGCCCCACTCACCAGCTGCCCCACTCACCAGCTGCCCCACTCACCAGCTGCCCCACTCACCAGCTGCCACACTCACCAGCTGCCCCACTCACCAGCTGCCCCACTCACCAGCTGCCCCACTCACCAGCTGCCCCACTCACCAGCTGCCACCACTCACCACCTGCCCCACTCACCAGCTGCCACACTCCACCAGCTGCCCCACTCACCAGCTGCCCCACTCACCCGCTGCCCCACTCACCAGCTGCCACACTCACCAGCTGCCCCACTCACCAGCTGCCCCACTCACCAGCTGCCACACTCACCAGCTGCCCCACTCACCAGCTGCCACACTCACCAGCTGCCCCACTCACCAGCTGCCCCAACTCACCAGCTGCCCCACTCACCAGCTGCCCCACTCACCAGCTGCCCCACTCACGCAGCTGACCCACTCACCAGCTGCCCCACTCACCAGCTGCCCCACTCACCAGCTGCCCCACTCACCAGCTGCCCACTCACCAGCTGCCCCACTCAACCAGCTGCCCCACTCACCAGCTGCCACACTCACCAGCTGCCCACTCACCAGTCTGCCCCACTCACCAGCTGCCCCACTCACCAGCTGCCCCACTCACCAGCTGCCACTCACCTACACTCACCAGGCCCACCACTGCCCCCACTCACCAGCTGCCCCAACCTCACCAGCTGCCCCACTCACAGCTGCACACTCACTCAGCTGCCCCACTCACCAGCTGCCCACTCACCAGCTGCCCCCACTCACCAGCTGCCCCACTCACCAGCTGCCCCACTCACCAGCTGCCCCACTCACCAGCTGCCACACTCACCAGCTGCCCCACTCACCAGCTGCCCCACTCACCAGCTGCCCCACTCACCAGCTGCCCCACTCACCAGCTGCCACACTCACCAGCTGCCCCACTCACCAGCTGCCCCACTCACCAGCTGCCCCACTCACCAGCTGCCCCACTCACCAGCTGCCCCACTCACCAGCTGCCCCACTCACCAGCTGCCCCACTCACCAGCTGCCCCACTCACCAGCTGCCCCACTCACCAGCTGCCCCACTCACCAGCTGCCCCACTCACCAGCTGCCCCACTCACCAGCTGCCCACTCACCAGCTGCCCACTCACCAGCTGCCCCACTCACCAGCTGCCCCACTCACCAGCTGCCCCACTCACCAGCTGCCCCACTCACCAGCTGCCCCACTCACCAGCTGCCCCACTCACCAGCTGCCCCACTCACCACTGCCCACTCACCAGCTGCCCCACTCACCAGCTGCCCCACTCACCAGCTGCCCCACTCACCAGCTGCCCCACTCACCAGCTGCTGCCCCAGTCACCAGCTGCCCCACTCACCAGCTGCCCCACTCACCAGCTGCCCCACTCACCAGCTGCCCCACTCACCAGCTGCCCCACTCACCAGCTGCCCCACTCACCAGCTGCCCCACTCACCAGCTGCCCCACTCACCAGCTGCCCCACTCACCAGCTGCCCCACTCACCAGCTGCCACACTCACCAGCTGCCCCACTCACCAGCTGCCCCACTCACCAGCTGCCCCACTCACCAGCTGCCCCACTCACCAGCTGCCACACTCACCAGCTGCCCCACTCACCAGCTGCCCCACTCACCAGCTGCCCCACTCACCAGCTGCCCCACTCACCAGCTGCCCCACTCACCAGCTGCCCCACTCACCAGCTGCCCCACTCACCAGCTGCCCCACTCACCAACTGCCACACTCACCAGCTGCCCCACTCACCAGCTGCCCCACTCACCAGCTGCCCCACTCACCAGCTGCCCCACTCACCAGCTGCCCCACTCACCAGCTGCCCCACTCACCAGCTGCCACACTCACCAGCTGCCCCACTCACCAGCTGCCCCACTCACCAGCTGCCCCCACTCACCAGCTGCCACACTCACCAGCTGCCCCACTCACCAGCTGCCCCACTCACCAGCTGCCCCACTCACCAGCTGCCCCACTCACCAGCTGCCACACTCACCAGCTGCCCCACTCACCAGCTGCCCCACTCACCAGCTGCCCCACTCACCAGCTGCCACACTCACCA